CATACTTCTGCAAAGCAGGGTATTTTTTATAATTCCCAAGACTGAGCTGAGTTGGCTTTTACTCTGCTCTCTGCCTCCAGGTGATCCATCTCATTCAAGCTCTTCCCAATAAATTTACCAGATCCCTTTCGTATGCAGGGGTTGCACTGAGCAGTGGAGGATCAGCAGCTCCCATCTGCTGCAGGATGAGCTGCCAAATGGCAACCTCACATGCTGATGGACCTGACAGATTTTTACATGTTGTCTTCTCATGCCATCTTATACTCCTGCCTGTTAGGCAGCCAGCAACATGTCTTTTATTAAAACAGACTATATACGTTAAATTTCAGATAAATTTTACAGTTTGGAATAATCTGATTTTCCGACTGCCCTTGGTTTTATGGAAAGCATGATGTACTAGAACGTGAGATTTCATTGCATTATTATGAATATATGTTGCCTTCTCTTTCCATATGTTCTTGCATAAGTGTCTCATCCTGCTAGATCGTTCAACAAAGAATATAAGATAAAAAACGAAAGTAGAAACTGAAGACAGTGAAAAATGCATTTGGTGCATAAAGTGAGAGGTGTGCCTGGCCAGAATGCAGAAACATGTTTTCTATCTTAATCAGTTTCATGGAAAGTAAAATGAAGCTTTTTGGTGGAAATGTCGCTTGTCCAGAGCAAGGATGAATAAACCAAAAAGACAGCACAGTCTTAAACCAGAAATTCCTCATATGAGACCAATCAGTTCTTTCTCAAACACTGTGTTAGAGTTCTGCATATCACCTGGATCCTGGAATAACTTCAAGGCAGTGCAGATGGGAAATAGGAGAGTCATCGTGTATATTGAAAACAATCCAGCCCTTTGAACTTGCAGTTTTTGTGACCTTTTGAAGACTTCTTACGGGAACACAAATACGCTGTCAGTTTGGTTTGGGCCTGATCAGGACTGGAATTTGTGGGGTGGGGAGAAGGAAGAAAAAATGCAATTATACCTCTTGATTTGATGTTAAACCAGTGACATTTCAGAGACAATGAGGCTGGTAGTTGCCAGCCTGTTGTTATGAGCTACCCTGAGACAGAAGCTCCACAGTGAAGGTCACTGTGCTAGAAGCAGAGATGTGAACATTTTACGTCTCTCTCTTCTTGCTTTTTCAGGTTTCTTTACATTCAATATTCACTTCTGCCCCTTGCCTATATACAGTAATACAGTTTGCAGAAGCCACTCAGCAAGCCACCAGCACTTTCAGGTTCCTGGGGACATACTCTGAGCCCCAGAGCCTGCTGGAGCCCTGCCTGTGAGCTGAGAGTGGCAGCACTGCCAGATCCACCACAGGAGGGGAGGGCCAGGACTGCCCTCCATGTCCGCAGCAGTCGTGTGCAAAAACATTTACTTTCTGTCACTAGAAGCAAAACTGGCCCCCTGTGACTATGAAAATATGTCAGCCTAATGAGAAAAATGAGAAGAAAAAAACCCTGACAAAAATCTAAGCACAGAGTGTTGAACAGGACTTGTTTCTGCCAGAGGATTTAGGGCACAGATGAACGTTGCTTAAATGTGGTAGGAATACCACGTCACATCAAGTAGGTTACTGTGCTTTTGCACCAACTCAAAGTATATCCCATCATATATGCTTTGTGTGTGTAAAATTGGATTTTTTGCAGCTTGCTCCTTTCCAAAAATAACCTGCACTGTTTTAATTTCTGAATGGATTAACTCCAAACAGTGGGGTATGAATTAAAGGCTCCTCAAGCAGCCATTAGAAAGTATTTTGGCTATTCAAATAATGGAGCTGCTAGTGATTTAAAAAAATTCCAGGGAGAAATGTTCTTAAATGTCATCAGCTACACAGTGCTGGAATCACTTCAGGGATTTCATGAGTTGCTATAAAACATGGTCCAGCAACATCAAAAGAGGTCTGCCACTACCAATCCTGTGAGTCTCAGTGTCTGCCTGAAGTGCCAGACACTCATCCACTGCTAATTATCCATCTCCTCCTGAGGTCAGTGGTGCTCCTGCATCTCCTATCAAAGGAGGATTTGGGCTGTCAGTGGAGTATAAGAATGGGATCAGAGATGACAAAGATGACTGTCCCTTCAGGAGAAATTCTCCTGGTTTTGTCCAATGTTCCCTTCAGACTCCTTCTGGCTTCCCTGGAAAGGTGCTTAGGAGCCAGGAAGGGAACTTCAGAGCTTCTCCCTGCCACCATCTCCTCGGGAAGGGTTGAGGGATGAAGTCACATGGATTACGTGAGGAAGTGTCCTGTTACCAGAACAGAGTTTTGGCTTATCCTACAGCAGAGAGAATCTTCTCTACTACAGTCAGATTTGGAATGGGAAAGCTATGGGAATGCTGTAGGATTTCTCCATGAAAACAACCAACTTCATTTTGCACAAGTCTAAAATATTGTTGCCTATCTGCTATCTGACTGACAGCTGCAGCAGAAAAATACGGTCATCAGCAAAACACAGCCTTTGCTTTAAGCACCTGAATAGTTTCCCTGATTTCACTGAGAATTGCTGGTGTGGATGAGGCTGTAGGATCAGTAACTGCAAAGGGAGATTTCTACCTGTGATACTCCTGCCATTCATCCCCTGTTAGGGGTGTGAGTGCAGCCAGGTGAGAGCTTCTGCACTGCCAAAGCCCTTTTTGTTGGCAGGATTGAATCAATAAATGACTTCAAATGCTGTTATGATCCTAAGATCAAGATGATTTGCACAGAGTACTTGCTAGTGAGTGTAGAGCACAATAGTCCCCCATTATAGTTTTAGTAGAACAGGAGAACATAAAAAGAGTCTTGAATTACTCTAACTTAAGATTGTGAAAAACATGCTCGAGTTCCTAATTCCTTACTTTAATTGAATACAAAGATATGAGCACTTCAATGTTCAGCTGCTACATATAAAATCAAATTTGGAGGGTAGTAAATACTTGAAGGCTTAGTGTTATAAATTAAGAGACCCGTTCAAGATAGTACTGTCTTCAATTCAGCAACACTACTGCTAGAATAACAACCTTAGATTTATTAAAATAGAACTAAGTTTAGATGCATATGCCTTCCCTTTCATTTTTATTACTTATTTTTATCTCTAAGAAACAAAATTCAACATACAAAGAGTATTTTTACTTTCCCAGCTGTTATAAATTTTTACAATGTTGCAATTTCCAAAGAAATTTTCAAACATCAATTTTAATAAAAACTGGAGTAAAAGTGTTTAAAGCATGATTTTCCACTACTAATTTTACATAAAAATTGCTTCTGTTTTGATTCTCTTTATCTAATAGGAGTTTTCTAATCAATCCTAGTGCAGAGGTCAACACAGTCATGGAATTGCCTCACTAGCAGAGGACCCACCTAACCCATTCTTGGGATTTGACTGAAAGCCTTGTGCTGCTGAGTGGAGTGGCTGCTGGATTTACTTCCTCAGGTATGTCTGTCCTGATGGCCTTTCCCTGCCTTCATGTGACCTGGTAGGTGAAGAACTACAGGGGGACTCTGCAGTGCTACATGGCTTGAGGCCACATGTGAAAAGAAGGAGTGATTCTTACTGCATGGAGCACACTGAGCTTTTGGGTGCAAAAGCAAAGTGTAAGTGATTATTAGACTATTTCATTTTAATGGTGTTTACTAGTTTTTACAATAAAAGTTTTTATGATTGGCAGGGACTGACTCCACCTGCCTGGGGGACCGGGCCCTGCCTGGGGGCAAGATTTAGGCTCCCAGTAACCAACATGGAGAAAGGCAAGGAAAGTTGTCATAGACTTGTCAGGATGCTGTCACAGGATTCAGGTCATGGTATAATCAGTAGGAATGGCTGAAAAATGCTCTGAAGAAAAAAGTCTACAGCAGGAAATATTGATTTGATGCAGTTTCAGTATTCTTCAGGATTGTGTGAGTTTTACTGAAACTTCCTGATGGAAACCTTGCAGGAGGGTTTTCCTAGCAGGAAGCCAGCAGCCAGCAGTGCCCAACTGCTTAAGCCTCCAGCAGTGTGTCTGATCAGACAGGGAGTCAGTTAGCTGGGGAGATAAGAGACTAGCACCCATTTAAAAACTGGTCTGATTTAGTTATTCAAAAAGTGAATGTTTCTAAATAATTTGTTCCATAGAAATCTTCATGTATCCAGCTAACACATTCAACATTTTTTTTTATGCTACAGGATGAAACCACTAAAAAGATAAAGTAAATTTTCTGCAGCACACTTCCCAGGCCATCCCAGTGATTAAATGAAGTTGTGGCTGAACAAAATGGTAACTTCTAATGGAATTCCAGGGCAGGGAAAGGGCAAATATTTTAGAAAGGCACTTCAAATTTACTAAAATACAGCTCCCTTGCATTACTTACTGCAAAAATCAAGCTCTGTTTGTGTTTGCTACTCACTGTAAATGACTTTACTGATGACTTTTGAGCAGTGCTATTTTTTAATTGGGGACATTTTGCCTGAGAAACAGCTGATCCACGGAAACATTTTCTTTTTATGATAACTGTTTTCCAAGTCGATAGTTGTGGTGCTTTGCTGTGTTTTTTTTTTTTTTCTTAATGTGTTTTAACAAGTAATAAACCCAGCGAGTGTGGAAGCCTTGACAGCAACCGAGCCATCAGCTGAGGACCCCCAGACGTGGATGGGGATGCCGCAGACAGCAGCATCGCGCTTATTGCTCTGCCTTCAGGTGCCTCGCAGGTACTTGCGGAGGGGGCCGGGGAGCTCGAGCGAAGCGGGCGGGACGGCGAGTCCCGGTGAGCCCGATCGGCCCCGCGGGCGGTGCGGGGGCTGCGGGGCGGTGCCTGCGCGTGGCAGCGGTGCGGGCGCGGCCGGGGCGGGGCCGGGCCCGCGGGGCAGCTGCGGCCGGGGCCGCGCGCATCGCCGTGGGGAGCAGGCGGCGCCCCGGGGCTGCGCGCCCCGCCGCGCAGGGGCTGAAGCCTGTGACCCCGCCGCCGCGACGGCGCTGCCCGGGCGGAGGGAGCGGAGCTTCGTCCGTGTTCCACCGCGGGATCCCCGAGCGCGGGCGGGCACGGGGATGGGCTGCGGAGGGGCGCCGGCGCGCCTCCTCGCTTGCGGGCTGCGGGAGCCCCCACGCAGCGCAGGGCAGTTGAATCCCGCCCGCGGCGGAGCGAAGGACCGGGACGCGATTTATTTGCTGCATTCCCAGGGACGTCGCTTCCACCTGCGAGCGAGTTTGAGCGGTCGGCTGTGGATTTTATGGTTGCTTCTCCGCAAACCAAGGGTTAGCCGGGTGGCTTTGGCTTTTTGGGAAGGAGCCCTGCCCCGGCCCGCTGTGTGCGATGGATTGAGGCGTGCCCGGCTGCGCCCCCAGCCCGGCCGCCGCCCGCAGCCCACATCGATGCGATGGAAAGTCGGGGGCTGTTCTGCACCCTCTGTTACCTGATGTTCAACGCGCCTCTGCTGTTCATTGTCACCGGTGAGTAGGGAACTTTCGCCTCTCCCCGCGGCGATCCGCCGCTCCGGGCACCACTTGCTAGGCGGGGGGCTGCGGGGCCGTCGGGCTAGCTGCGGCCACTTAAGCACGCCGCTCCCGCCGGCAGGTGCTGAGGGGCCCGTCCGTCCGCGGCTCGTTCCCAGGAGCGGCAGTGCTGGGGGCAGGGAGCTGCCCGGGCGGGCTCTGGCAGAACAAGGTGGCACTGTTGGGTCGCAGCTGCCGGCAGCGCGGAGCGGAACGGAGCGGGGCGCGGCGGGCGCGCAGCCCGGGACAGTCCCCGCGCCCGTCTGCTGGAGGGGGCAGTGGGACACCGGTAGCTCTGAAAGCCGAGGGCTTTCTTGGGAGGACGAGGGGGTTTAAGATGCTCTTCAAACTTTCCCGTTGGAGCCGCGGCTGCAGGGTGGCGGGGACCAGCTTGGCCCTGCCCTGCCCCGGGTGTGCGCAGTGCTGGACGCTCCGTTTGCTCTGCGGTCGCTGGGCTACATGAAACCCGTGTCTCGGTCAGCGCGTAGCCCTTGAGCTGAAGCAGCTCACGTTACGCTGAAAAGGACTGATCTTGTCTTTTAATGTCTCCCGTTAACCAGCCCTTGTAACTCTATCTTCCCCTCCCAGCTACCTTTACTGAAGTTCCCAAAGATGTGACTGTTAGGGAGGGAGATGATATTGAGATGCCTTGTGCTTTCCGAGCCAGCGGATCCACCTCTTACTCCTTGGAAATCCAGTGGTGGTACCTTAAAGAACCAGCCAGAGAACTTGCACACGAATTAGCCATCAGTGTCCCTGGCAGCAGGAGCAAGGTAATACATTGCTATGGAGATATATCTCTTCATTGATTGCAACGTGCTTAGAGGTGATCAAAATAAACTCAGCAGCCCCAGAGAGGAGACTGCTTCCTCTACCCAGTGCCAACAACTGGTAGGAAGCACTGGTGTGCCCAGGTCCTCCGTGGGATGCAGGACTACAGGGATGCACCATGGGGGACTTTCATCTCAGGGAAAAAAAATCAGTGCTTAAAGGATTGTAAATAGAAAGTGATAAATGTCCCACCACAAAATCATCAGTGAGGTCCCAAGAAAGCCAGTGAAAATAGCTTTAGTATGAAGTGTGGACAAGCAAAAACCTTGTGCTTCTGTAGACTGAGCTAGGAATCATTGTAAAAGGTGGGAGAGCCTCTGCTCTCTGATAGTGCAGAGAAAGGCATGAGGGATACACCTCTCTCTGTTGGTGTGTTAAGCTGATATCAGTCTGCATATACAAATGTACAATTTCTTGTTGTACTTGTACAATATCTGTCTATTTCTGGAGCTCAGCAAGACGTTTCCAGTCAGATGTAGTAATTAAAATGCATGAAGCAGAGTTAAATCTTGCATCTCCTTTCCCCTCCCCCTAGCAAGCCACTTGGCATGAGGGCAGGCTTTAGTCTAAATTTTTCAGCTGCATTTCCCCAGCATAAGCCAGTTCATTCTATAGCCTCCCCTCAGTGCAAGACACCTTCCTGGTGCCAAACGGGGCTGTACAAGGAGTGGGGTAAAGCAGGACTTGCGGGATGTGTTGCCCTACTGTGCAGGGCACGTCATCCTCTCCAGCCTCCGTCCCCTGTGCCAGCAGGGTGGCCCGCGGCAGCCTCTGTGCCTGTGCCAGCTCCCCTCTCTGTGGCACGCTTGTTTTCCTGCAGAGCTCAAATAGAGATGCAAAGCATATAGACACTGAGCTAATGCGATGCCGCCTAGCTGGGGAAAGTGTAAGTCACTTGTCAGACTGGGAAATGAATTGCTTGGATTTAAATGTCTTCTTTAACCTTATATAAAAACTGTGAATTGCTTTTGCAACAAATGATGACAGAGCGTGCCTGGAGAACGATGACCGTCTCCCCGAGAGGCGCGTCGGTGAGGTCTGAGGCATCACTTAGGTTTACAATAGTTGGCTGGAGACAAAAAAATAGCCAAATACAAAACCTGCTGAGTGGTACCTCTTCCCAGGGTGTTTCTGGACCGAAGCTCTGCCCTGAGCAATGCGGGATCCAGCTTGCCCAAGCACTTCACTGCGGTGCTGCTGGTAAAGCATCTTCCCCGGTGTTTGTCAGCAGCTGTGAGCAGCACAGCATGCAACAAGCGTTTCTTTGGCTGCTGTTCGCACCCTGGGTGAAGGCAGCACTTTTGTGGGCACCACGGGAGCTGCACCAAAACAATCTCTCCAGCTGAGCACTGTTTTGCTGCCCTGCCCATAATCTGGGGAACTCCCCCAGGCCACACACGGGCTGTGTGATTGGCAAGTGGAGAAAGTTGTATCTGTCCATGTCCTGTCCTTGCACTGGGGTGGGAATATGAGCATCTTGTTGAGGTACTGGCAGCACTGAGTCTAATCTCCCTTTTTTCTGTTCTTTTAGGTAACAAATAAGGATGCAACCAAAATCAGTGTAAGTGCAGCTCGAGATGGGTGTGCACCCCTCCTCCCATGCACGTGGGATTTACTGCATGCCCCCCTCCTTTCCTGACACACGAATGCAGCTGGTCTCACTGGCAGCCCTGCTCCTGCAGCACGGCAGGACTGTGGCACGTTTCCCCTCCTCAGTGTGTCACGGCTCGATCAACGCGATACCATCTGTTGCTGGTTTTGCAGTCACGTCCCATTCCTTGCAAATCCAGAGAAGTGATGCTTACCTTACAGCTCTTCCTTAGCCACGTTTGGAAAAGACTGTGGGCCAGATTAGGAGAAAATGTCGCAAAGCGACCCCCCTCTCTGCCTGTCCTGCAGGAAATACGCCCCTTTATTTGATGCGGGCCCGGGGTGCCGCTGCCCCTCTCCGCGGTGCTGAGCCGCTCCGGCGGAGCCAGACTCAGGTCACCTGCTCGGCCCCGGCGGGGTGTCACCGAGCCCAGCCAGGCTTGTCCCTCTGCAGCAGGCGCGGGGCGACCCCCGAGGGGCTGCGCGTTCCCCACGGGGCGGTTCGTGCGGGCTGGAGGCTGCCCTGCACCGGGCACTGCGCGGGGGGCGAGGGGAGCCCCGCGGGGGCGTTGGTGGTGAGGGAGGTGTGCGGCCTTGGGACCGCGAGTTGGGGCTTTAACAGCTCGGTGTCCGGTGATTTGGGGGGAATTCGCCCCGTGGCTGGGGCCAGGGCAGGGTCGCTGCGGCGGTGCGCTCTCTCTTCGCCGACGGTCCGCGTCCAGGGCAACGACATCTCTCACCGGCTGCGGCTCTCGGCGTGCGGCGGCAGGAAAGGCGCGTACCAAGTGCCGCGTGTCGGACTACAGCGACGACGAGACCAGGAGCACAAGGCTCAGGCGCCTGCTGCGCGTCTGTCGCTTCGCGCCGCCCGACGTGCCAGGCGGCCGAGCGGTGTCCCGCACAATCCCAGAGCGGGCTGCCCCCGCCGCCCGGCCCCGCCGCCGCGCCCCACCCGCCCGCCCGGCCCCGACAGCGCCGCCGCCGCCCTCGCGCCGGCCCGGCACAAGGGGGGCACCGCCGCCAGCGCCACCGCCGCCACTGTCACCGCCTCGACGGCCGCCGCTGCCGCCTCCTCGGCCTCGCCGCCGCCCGGGCAGACCAGCCATCCTCCGCAGCAGCCCGGGTCAGGTAGGGCGCGGGGGCGGAGGGGAACCCATCCGCGGGCCAGCCACCGTGACCCCTCCTTTGCTATGGGTGGGGCTGTCGCTGCGATGCTAAAGCTAAATAATCGCACCCAAATCTGTAGGCAAGTGCGCTTAAGTTGTCTCAAAAGCCGGGGCTGGTGCGTTGGCCCAGCCCAGGCGAGGGCTGGGGAGGTGGGTCTGAGCGCAAGGCAGGGACCTGCATCCTTTCGTAGGTGCTATGGGAGGCCCCGCCTCCAGAACCACCTTGCAGCTTTTAGGATGAGGTTTTAGGAGGCCCCGCTTTCAGAACCCCCTTTCAGCTTCTAGGATGAGGCTTTTGAAACAGTAGTTGCAGCCACAGGTGAGCACAATGCCGTGGATGTTCTGCAGAGAATTTAGATCAGCAAGTGGTTGCAGGGCTGGTTGTCCCCGACAGCTGCAGGGCCCATGCAGAGTGGGGTGCAGGTTCGGAAGGGAAATGTCAGTTGCTGTGTAATAAGGTCCACATCTGAATTAATGGCAGGATAAGAATTGGAGATACTGCACTGTATAATGGTTTTCAAATGTAAACATCATTCTAATACTGATTGTCTATCAGTCAATACTGTATTAAGTTATTAATGCCACATTACCAAATTACAGCTTGACAGAGAAGGCCGTTATAAACCTTTAACTAATGACAGGAAAGTCTAGGACAGAGAACATAATCTTAAATCTGCATTGCAAAAGTGTTTCAAGCTTCAAAGGTGTGCTGCTGCTCTGGCTGGGCTTCAGCTCCTCTCTCAGCCACTGTCACTTAGCTAATGTTGAACAAATGTTCCTGCCAAGTTGTCTGTGCAAGAAGGAAAACAATTTTATGCCACTGACTGTGCAGGGAAGGCCCTGAGCTCCCCTCTCTCCTGAGTCTCTTCTGACGCAGATTCATAATCTTCATGCAGAGATGTTCACACTTCTTCCTGATGCCTCTTCACACTCTCGGGGCAAACAGTTGCAGGTTTTGGCTCACAGTAATGGAAATAATTTGTATATGGGTCACCATGACCTGCTGGTGCTTTACAGGTGCTGTGTTTTATCTGGCTACTACCTTTTGTTGTTTTCTGAATAATTAGGGTTTTTTTCTCATGTAGAAATACATATGAAAGTTGGGTTTTACTCCTTGTCATTCCCAAGACTAAGCTGGCTGTTCACTGATGTCTGGTGGAAGATAAGGTGATAACTACAGGTGCTTGCAGGCATTTTAAAAAGTTCAGTTTGCTTTTCCTGAATTCAGGGACCACAAGAAATTGAAGTAAACACTAATGCTCATGATGTGTTGTTTTCCTGTTGGAAAGATCCGCTTTCCTCCTAGGACCCCAGGGCTGGGGGTTGTTTTCATGTTTCCTCTCCACTCAATGACTGTGAGAATTTTTGCAGTGTTTTCCATGCTGACAGTAGAAGTTGGGTTTGGGACTCACAGCCCTATGCATCCTGCCTACTGAACCCAGAGCTTAAGTGGTGCATGCAAACTGAAAACAGGGCAGTGGAAGCGCAGTGGGCTCAGTTCCATGTCAACAGATGGATGTGAGCGTGTGCCGCCAAGACAGCATGTCACATATGTCTGCTAGGGCAAGACCTCCTGCCCAGATCATCTAAACTGCTGTCTGTCCCAATTTTGTACATGTCTGTGGTTTGGGGATGTGGCACTACTGCATCATTTCTAGGCTGGATTAAATTCTGAAAATAAACTGTGGCCAGCAATGGAAGTAATGGAATGATTTGAATTAGTGAAAAAGGCAGTAGAATGCAGAAAAATATTTAGTGGGGATCTCCAGATGGAGACTGATGCTGAGGGCTACAAAATTGGCTAAACCAAAATTTCGTGCTGTGAGCTCTCTCCTGGGCACACTGGTGTCTGTGAACAGTGCCACTCTGTGGCAGCTCCTGTGCCAGAGAAGCTGAAGTCAGTGCAGAGAGCACAAGATCACTGCTCCTAGTACTGACTTAATAAGGTGTAAACCAGCACCTGCTTTTTTCTCTGTAAGAGGGAGGTAACTAATTTTGTATTTTGGTATCGTCCTCTGTAGAAATAATGGCTTTTTACTCTGCTTGAATCGAAGACCTCCCTGAATAACAGGCTTCTACTTGGTTTGTTGTAATTTCCCTACCTGTGGCAATTTGGAGCTGCCTGTAATTACTTATGAATAGTACATCAGCCACAGCATGGCTTTTAGATTAGAAGCTGAGGGGTTTGTCCCTCAAAGTTCCTAATTCAGGTGCCTTCTAGACCAGAACCATCTGAGTCTTGTAACCACGAAAGATCTCTTCAGTTGCTTTTGTGAAGCAGATTGCTGCCATCTCAGTCCCCATCACTCATGTGTCTTAGAAGGACTGTCTGTGCCAGGGTCCTGGTTTGAAGCAGAGAGAGACAGCTTGGTGTAGAGGCAAGAAATCTTCCCTAGACATGAAGTGTTGCATAAAGACATGTGGATAAAATACTAACTTAGCAGTCAGTGTGATGAGGACTTGCAGGGACGTCACCTGCTTTTGTGAGGAAATGGAAGACTCGGGTCTCCAGTGCTGCCAACTCGGGTTGGATAAGCACTAAACTAGCTTCAAAATGTCTTAAAAGAAAATTACATTTTGACCTTCAGAGTTTACCATTTGTATGTTAAAGTGGTGTTCTTTAGAGCTATTTTAGGTACAGTAATTATTGTTCTCTGTAAAGAATGCAGTTGCTTTATAGAAAATGCCTTTTTTCCTCTTTTTTTTTTTTACCTCTGGGAACTAGAAGCCCTGTTTCAAGTCCACTCCCTCAAGGCAGTGTTGTAACTGGTTTTCCACACAGTAGGGCCAACAAATCAAACTAAATCTTTGTTCACATGGTGTGTAATTCTGCAGGACCTAACCTTGTGCTGCTGTATGAATTATATCTGCATAGTAGCATAATACATGTGCTTCATTATCCTATTTTGAGCCCTGTAACACGTACAGATAAGTGGTTGCACCAAATCTGTGTGTAGTAATTGAATCATCTAATCGTTTACTCTCAAAAGTCTTTAGCATTTCTAAGTCTTTTTCATTGTATACAGGGATATTTCCTCTGTATAAAAGCAGAAATGTGCTAGAACACTGGATTTGCCATCAGCGATTAAGAAACACCCTCATTTAAGACACCAGCAAGCTCTGCATAAGAGTTGATGGCATGGCACTAGCTAGAGTGTCCTGCATGAATTGGGTTCTAATCCTATTTTCCTTGCAATAGAAATCTTCCCAGTATGTTCAGTGTAGTAAGATAGGGCCTCTATGCGCTTGTACTCCAATAAATGTGATTATAGATCAAATGCTACATTGAGATGTGCCTGCAGGGCTCTTGTTGACTTCAGTTGCTGTCCCAGTCACGTACTGTGGAAAACTGTGATTCTTTACATCTTCTACTTGAACTGAAACATGAACTTATTAGAATAAATGTGTCCCTTACTGAGATTCTCTAAAGAGCAGAGAGTCTCAAACTGGATATACATAGAAAATCCATTGTTTCAGGCATGTCATCAGAATGGTATTTGGTTGAAATTCAGCATTGTGGTATTTAAGGAAATAGATCGAACCTAACAGAAAAATTGACCAAATGCCAGAAACATTAGCTACTCACACAGAATTTTATCTGTAATTTTTAAACAACCATGTAAAAATTTCGTGCTGTGGTCTCCTGAGTCAAAAAGGTCACTGCTTGAAAGGTTACTGCTGGAAAGGTGGACTGAAGTAGGAATCTAGGACATGGGACTTGGGCTGTGAGGAGGCAGAGATCTGCTTGTAAGATCATTGCTTTTAATGCTATGAGGGAAGCAGTTGTTGTCCATGTGATTCTAAATATTTGGCTTTCAGTTTAAATACTTCTACACAAGTGTAATCTTCTGCTTAGGACAAAAATTGGGGTGAGCAAGTGAAAGTGTAGATATAGTGTAACTGTTTGGAAGTGTTCCTAGTTTTTACTGGGTAGAGTTGGGGGGAGAATCACCGAGTGAAACACAGTGTCTCTATCTTAGAAAGTTTGTCATCCAAAGGGATGAGATGGACAAATGGCAGGAAGAACAATAACTGGCTTTGTTTAGTCCTGTGACAGCTGCGAAATTAAATATGAAAACTTAATTTCAGATCTCTTAAATGCAAGTCCTCTGCCTTACTCATGAGTCTTTGTCATCTGATGGTGAAGTAATAAACAAGGATCTTCATACTGACCTTCTGGGAGGGAAACTGGCTGTGTTATATCCTACAAAACAGTCTCCAAAATGAGTGTATTGGCTTGGGGGCAATTTATAGTTTAACTTCTGAGCAGAATGCAGATCAGACACTGCATCTTCCAAATTCCCTTTTATTTGTTTGATCTCTAGCCTCAAAGCTCAGAAGTGAAAGCTTTAAATAAAATAAACAAAGATGGGAGTGTGAAACAAGAAGCTGTGCTTCATTGTGCTTAGAATGCTCCAGGAAGGACACAGAGTCATGTGTTATGCAGAGATGAAGTGTTCATAGCAAGGAAGAACACAAGTCTTCACTTCATGCCTATCCCTCCCCCCCTCTAAGCCTTTTATGTCTGAGGCAGAAGAAACTCTGCTCATAGACTACATGGCCTAAGATAATAAAGCACCAGGTCCCAGTTCTGCAGCCTCTGTGCATGTGCAGCTCCCAGTGATGCTCATGAGAGCAACACAGGCACAGTCAAGCTGTGCCAACCCACCTTGAGGCAGGAGATCGTGTCAGAGACTGTTAGATCTGGGTTGTGCATTGGGAAGAAAAGGGTATGTCTTTGCAGTTTAGAGACAGCAAAGTAAATGAACACAGTGTTTTGTTGAGGGTGACGAGCTGTGGCTGGTTAGAGGGTCTCTGTTTGGAGGGGCTGTGGGTGGGTTTGGATTAACTTTGGGTAAGGGTTTGAGTTTAGAGCTCTCCTGGCTTTGTCAGAGCTTCAATGACTGTGTGCTAGTTTGAGAGACAGCCTGTGGAGCTTGTTTATGTTTGATAGATGAACAT